ACAAAATTACTAAATAAAACTTAAACTAGTACTTAATTGATAGGTGGCCCAGCTCCTATAATATTTTAGAGGGCCTACCGGGATTTTCCCAGTATCCCGGTGGGCCAGTACGCGCCTGCTTACATTAAATATTGTATTTTATAAATGGATTATATGAAACAAAATAATATTCAAATATTAATAAAAGAATAGTCAACTTTTTCTGTAATATATAATAGAGTTGCGTAATTAAAAAACCCTCCTCAGTGTGACTTCCTTTTGGAAAAGGTATCCCACAACTTTGTAATTCAAAATACAATTATAATTTTTTGTTGCATTCCGTCTTGCACAAATAAAGGGGAAAGTACCTTTGCTGCACCTAAGGAAAGAAAGTATTTAAATTTGTTGAAACTAAATTCAAAAATAAATCTAAAACCATCCTTAGGAGTCTGTTCAATTAATATTGAACATAAGGATTAAAGATGTTATACAAACTTGGGAATCAAGACAAGGGACCAGCAAGTAATACAAATAAAACTTATTTTTATTATTGGAGTGTCCATTCTTGGTTCAAAATGCTTGTCTTCGTTGGGCAACTTGTACATTTTTAATCGTGATAATATCTACAATCCAACACCGTATAAATATAAATATCATTATAATATAAGAATATAATAAAAACAATCACCTGTATCACAATTGTGATAATAATCACCTCTTTCTCATGTTCATAACTGCCGTACAACACAATTAGAATGTCGATTATTTTATAGGTTAGTCGTTTAGAGTTACCTTTTTAAACGAAGTATTTTTTGTATTATTATTATATATATTTTTTAAATTCAATAATGAATGATTTCTAATATATATATATTATAAATAAGAGTAAATTATTTGAACAATAAATGCAGTGGATTCGACTTAACGTTGGGACCAGTTATATTTCCCTATATAAGGCAGCTGCCTATTTAAATGGGTTTCACAAATGGGTTTCGTATACATTAGAACCGTAATCAGATTATTATGCCCATATTAGGTGGCTGCCCGAATTAACCGGTGGTCACATTAAGCGGAATCCTCTGTATTTTTTTAAATTATTTTGTATAGGTGAACTAGTTGATAATGGGACAGGAAGTAAGTTTATGTTTATTTATAATTAATAAAGTTCTCAAAAGAAAGTTATANTTTAACCGAAATGAGTTTCGTATACATTAGAACCGTAATCAGATTATTATGCCCATATTAGGTGGCTGCCCGTATTAACCGGTAGCCACTTTGAGCAGATTCCACTGTATTTCTTTATTTATTTTTTGTAGGTAAACTAGTAGATGATGGGACAGGAAGTAAGTTTATGTTTATTTATAATTAATAAAGTTCTCAAAAGAAAGTTATATTTGGTAAGATATAAAGTAGCTACGCCGTTATTACCGTACAAGGTTGGCTATAGTACAAGACTATATGATACCAATGAGGAGGCAATTTCCCTATTATTTTTGCTCTCTAGTTGTCATTACTGGGCAAGTTTTGAATATCTAATATACATAATATAACGGAAAAGTAGGTTTAATGATTAATAATTTCCCTACTTAAGGCTATGGATTAAAGTCAGAGTTATACACTTAATAAGTTTCAGTTTTCTGGGTATAATAATATAAATCATATTTAAACTATGCCATTAACATGTTTGAAACGATTTTTTTACTAAATTGTTTTCTTTGAACTACATAATAATGTGAGAGATATGAATATAGCTTGTTTTTTTTTTTTTTTTCTAACAAATATTATTTCACTTCTGAATATGAAATTTGATTCGCAAAGGTATAATATCATTATGAATTTATTCTCATTTATAAACTTTAATAATAATACATATTATATATTTTTTTATTTTTCGTATAATCTAGATCTAGTTTTAGAAGGTATCGTTTGTATTATTTTAAATATATTTTTAATAATAAATAAAATAAAATAATTTGTTTAATAAATATAATTTTTAATATTTTCGGACATATTTTTTAGAAAACATTGTATTGTAAATAATTGTAGTCGAATGTAGATGTTAATGATAAACCGATTTGTTGATATATGTTGGGTACCGAACGTGTGGTCGAAAACAAACGGTTCCCACCACTGATCACAGGCCCAATGTTGACCTTACTGCACTCTTCACCGATACAACGGTACAACCCAAGTGGCTAATTAGTTGCTGTTATCGGGTTTATCACCTGGTCTTCAGTTACTGTGTCTTCTGTTATCACACTGCAACGATCGAAAAAGTGTCCATCAGCGCCGTCGTGTGGTCGTACGTCCGTCGTTGTATTATAACTGAACCGTTTTTTTGTCCTTACCCTGTACGTATTTAGCTACCTGTAAATACGACCGCCCATTGTTGCGTAGCCGATCAAACCCTGAAAATTGTTTTGCCAATGTCCTCATCCTTACATAATACTCTTTTCTTGTTAGAATCGCTGCCGGAAACCTTACGTTACCTCGTCGCTACGGAAATTCCGCGCGAATACGGACCATAATGTTGTTTTTCGATACTACTTAACTGTTAGAGTCGGATTATTTTAGATTTCGTGCCAAATTAACGTTTAATTAGTAAACAGTAATTTTAATTATTTTAATACAATTTTTTATACATTTTTAAATGTTTCTGATCTGCTAAAAAATTGTATCCACATTTGACCAAATAAAAATAATATTTTTTAAAATATTTTTGACACTAAACTTCACGCATTAAGTTTATTTCAATGTTCTGCTTTTATTGCCCTAAGTTTATATTTTTATACTATATTATCCGTATTGACATTAAACATATATAAGTGCACTGTATTGAATTATATTATCTTATTAATATCAAACTCACCGTACTCATAAATATACTGTGTCCCCTTCCTGCCAGCAAGGTCTGCACACGTCTATGGTTTTGACACTTTTTGACGTTGGAACTGTTTCCACTACGCATCATTGCAGGCGGTCCGTTGACCACCGTATGTTACGGGCGCTGTCTTTTTCTTTTGAAAACTTATAATATTATAGATGGTCCAGACATGTTGTTAATAGCGTGATATTGGGCGAATTGTACCTCAGGTCAATTCAGCCAAACGGTAATCGCTTTACGTTCCAAATCTACATTTACCGTTCGGAAACTGGTTGTCAAATCTGCCTAAGCCGAGACCGAATCTTGCTTCAATGCGAACGGCTATAGAATGAATATATTATAATGTATAGACCAATATGATTGACGGTGATTAAAAACACTTATGCGTGCACGTTTCCAAAGAGCCGGATGCGTGAGGTTTTCACCGGCTACGCAACAATATTTTATTCCTGAAAAGCGCGTGATAAGCAAATTCAGTCCAGGGGTCCAGGGTATAAATACATGCCATCTATGACCCTTTTTGACACTAGTCTGGAGCTATCAACTACAAGCACATTCACGTTAGTTTGTTTAATACAAATTTAATTAAAAGAGTTTGAATAATTTTAATAATTTTAATAAAAATAATATACTTATCTACAAATGTAGATTAAAACGGTGGTGTGAGTCAATCCTAACTGTTCTCCGATCATTCTGACGGTCAACCGACGATCGGATCGGACAAGATCTCGAACTCTGATGACGTTTTCATCAGTTTTTGCAGTTGAAGGTCTTCCACTGCTATGTTCATCTTCAATAGCCTCTCTGCCTTCAGAAAATGCCTTAAACCACCTAAAAACCTGAGCCCTTGAAAATAAACTTTCTCCATATACTTGTTGGAGCTTTTGAAAAGTTTCTGTCGCACTGTGTCCAAGTTTGAAACAAAATCGGATAGCACACCGTTGCTTAAAATTGTTGTCACTCATTTTCAGAACGTACTAAAAAAAAATCGGTTTACGAAAATAATTGTCACAGACCAACACGTGGCACTACGGAGTTTAAATTCGTACTGAAGGTACATTAAATGTTTATCTACAAACCTCTTCAAACGGAAAGTAATTAGTGTTATCATATAACAAGCTACGATATGAGTCTCATTACTTTATTTACAGACCTCGTATGTTACCTATTATTAATATTCTTTTATTCGTTTTTATTCTAACGACAGAATAAAGAGAACCGAAATAATAAGACAAGTAATATAATTTTAGATATTTCATATAGTATTATAGTCGCTATCGGAAAGCCCATATAAAAAGTTAGTGGCCTATTCTACACCGTATTACGCTTTCAATAATTTCTGGTCAGATGAAAAATTGTAATCAAATCTAAACATACAAAAGAAATATTTCTCGGATATTGTCCTAATTTAGATTCACGCGTTAAGCCTGTTTCTGTTTTTTATATTTAGTTTCATCCTAAGTTTATGTTATAAGATGGCAATATCCATATTGAGTTTAAACATGTATCGATAAACTATACGAAATTATATTATTATCATAATAAGTTACAACTTATCGTAAGACAATTGACAATGATATAAACTATTGTATTTCTAAACTATATTATGTGTTTAAAAATTGTTCAAAGTTATGAATATTAAATAATGAATTATTTATGTAACAATAATTCTGGTCATTCATAAGTCTGTATAAAACAGCTATGTCGTGGACTCGGCATTTTCGGCTTTGAGTGTTATAACTGTTCTCGCTACAATCTAGAGAAACTACAGTTGAAGGGACGGAATGCGATTCATTTCTTGGGCTGTTACCGGTGGTTTCTTGAACGGGTGAGGAGACCTTCATTACCCAGCCCGACCAGATGGCACAGACCCATCCGCGGTTCTAGATATTAGTAGTGCCGTAAATTTATATGCGATGTAAAGCTAAGAATCACAAATTCTCAAGGGCGTGCGAGTGCCAGTATCTCCTAACCGAGGATGTACCTGCAAGAGAACGAAACTACGGATTCGCCTCTCCACATCGTTGATCGGGGATCTCCTGGCGCTGTGTCCTTCGGGTCACATCATGTGATGTCCTCGGTTTTATTGGAATGTATTAACTTTTTCAGAATTTGTTTTATAGAACATTTAAGAAACAAGCTGCTCTTCAATATATATGTTATATTTAGCTATCCTTATTTTCGTAGTATATTTACTAACTACTTTTGATTTTCCGATATGGGTAACATTAAAAATTCGATAATTAGATAAATTAAAAAAATTAATTTTCGTATTGAAATTTTTGATTTTTGTTCATCCGTTAACGTGATATTTCATTTTAAAATTTTGGGTTGGAGGAAAATAGAGGAGCAACATTTGTGTGACAGTACGGTGCGCAGCGCATTAGTAATGAACCACTACTCTCCACCTACTCAAACTTATAGGTAGAATATCTCGTCAACGGATTGATATAAATCAAACATTTCAATACAAAAATGTATATTAATCAATACTCCGTCTAATTATAGAATTTTTAATATAGGTTGCCGAGAAAAAATCAAAAGTAGATAGTAATTTTTTTTCCAAAAATAAGAGTGATAAAAAATAACATAAATGTAAAATTCTAGAGCAGCTTATTTCTTAAATTTCTCAGAAAAAATTTCCGAAAAAGGTAATAATTTCCAAGATAGTTATTGTTAACAGTTAATTTTTTTCACCTGATAGATAGGTCATCTGCAACCATAATATTATTCAGATTTTAATAACGTAATAAACGACGTTTTCTATATTATATCATATAATNAATTTTTTTTCCAAAAATAAGAGTGATAAAAAATAACATAAATGTAAAATTCTAGAGCAGCTTTTTTCTTAAATTTCTCAGAAAAAATTTTCGAAAAAGGTAATAATTTCCAAGATAGTTATTGTTAACAGTTAATTTGTTCACCTGATAGATAGGTCATCTGCAACATAATATTATTCAGATTTTAATAACGTAATAAACGACGTTTTCTATATTATAACCTATAATTAGAATTGAATTATGTAATACAAATCTTTAATTATACTTATTATTGGTAATTTTTCTTTTTTACTCTAGCACCACCAACACAAAGACCACAACGTAAGTTAAATTTTAAATATTTCATATTGTCTAGTAGTTACTACACTGTATTAAATTATAATTTTACTATAAACTTTTATTATTCTGAATTATATTTGTTCTCTTAAAATTGTCCAAATGTGAAAAACGATAAATAATGTATTATTTATAAAATATAACTGGTGATTGAATAAGTCTGTGTAGAACAGCTGTGTCGTGGTCTTTGCATTTCTTAGTGTTCGAACTGCACCTCCACGCGTTGATGAAAATTAATTTAATTCGTTAAATTAATTATCTGAATAAAATTAGTTTGGCACCAACAACAACAAAGCTCACNTAATATTTTTTCTACTCTAAGTAGATAGTAATTTTTTTCCCAAAAATAAGAATGACAAAAAATAACATAAATATAAAATTCTAAAGCAACTTATTTATCAAATTTCCTAGAAAATATTTCCGAAAAAGTTAATACTTTCCGAGATAATTATTCTTGTCAATTAATTTGATCACCTGATATTTAGGTCGTCTGCAATAAAATAATATTCAGATCTTAATAACATAATAAACGACGTTTTCTATATTATATCTTATAATTAGAATTGAATTAAGTAATACAAATCTTTAATTATACTTATTATTGGTAATTTTTCTTTTTTAATCTAGCACCACCAACACAAAGACCACAACGTAAGTTAAATTTTAAATATTTCATATTGTCTAGCAGTTACTACACTGTATTAAATTATAATTTTACTGTAAACTATTATTATTCTGAATTATATTTGTTCTCTTAAAATTGTCCAAATGTGAAAAATGATAAATAATGTACTATTTATAAAATATAACTGGTGAATGAATAAGTCTGTGTAGAACAGCTCTGTCGTGGTCTTTGCATTTCTTAGTGTTCGAACTGCACCTCGACGCGTTGATGAAAATTAATTTAATTAGTTAAATTAATTATCTGCATAAAATTAGTTTGGCACCAACAACAACAAAGCTCACTTTGAATACTGCATGATATAGGCGAGCTATCTGAAATGATATAATTTTTATTTATTTATAGCATAATAATGAACGTTTTCTGGGATATATTTACAATTTATTGTGATGAAATGTATAATAAAAAATCATAACCATACTTATTATATTAATAATTAATATTTTTTCTACTCTAAGTAGATAGTAATTTTTTTCCCAAAAATAAGAATGACAAAAAATAACATAAATATAAAATTCTAAAGCAACTTATTTCTCAAATTTCCTAGAAAATATTTCCGAAAAAGTTAATACTTTCCGAGATAATTATTCTTGTCAATTAATTTGATCACCTGATATTTAGGTCGTCTGCAATAAAATAATATTCAGATCTTAATAACATAATAAAAAACGTTTTCTATATTACATGCTATGATCAGAGTTGTACTATATAATACAAAATTATGACGATACCTATTAATACGATACCTAATATTCTTTTTATTTATTCTAAATAAATAAATTTACATATATTTAAATTTATATAAATTTATAAATTTTAATTATGTTGTAGGTACAATATGATAAAAAATAATAAACTGGGTCATTGCATCATATAAATTAAAAATGTAAATGAAACGAATAAACGATATGTTACGATAAGTGTACATACTTATTTACAAATATTTACAATTTTCCTGTGTTAGTTTAGGTTTATTTATACTTTATTTTTATAAATATATCAATTTTAATTTTTCTGTGTTTTTTTTAAAACATAGTTTTATGAGAAATAACTTTTATAACACAAGACTTTTATTAAACTTAAATTTATGATAATCAACTTTATAAAATATGACTTTCTAACACTTGATTTATTATCGTCAATTTGATAACGTCTTCATATTAGGTTATCAGTGTACAACTAGATTAACAATAATTTAAGAAATTCAGCTAACAATGATGTGGATATTCTCAAAAGTTAAATATTATTAAAACAATTTAGGCAAACACCTTCTATTGTTTAATGTGAAATATTTTAGTTATTCATAAATAATAAATACATTTTTAATAATAAGTATTTTTATATTTATCATGTATTATTTAAAAATTATACAAATCATTGGTTTTTAAGAAAATATCGTAAAACACGTACATTTAATTTTTTACGTTTCGTTTTAATCGTGGAGTTGACAAGCTTGGTGGGAAAAATACTGGATAAAAAGCTACGATAATGACGTGTCGTATTTGTATAAGCTTATAAACAAATTATAGGTTAAATGTATACCTTCTGATCATTACAAATAAACACCTTATACGTTCAGGTTATGGTTGTTTACTCTCTGTCATAGTTAAATCATAAAATATATTATATGAATATTATTTATATTCTTAATTTCATTTTCGGTTGTTTACGAAAAAATAAATAATTTACTATTTATACCTTCTGATCATTACAAATAAACACCCTATACGTTCAGGTTATGGTTGTTTACTCTCTGTCATAGTTAAATCATAAAATATATTATAAGAATATTATTTATGTTCTTAATTTCATTTTTGGTTGTTTACGAAAAAATAAATAATTTACTATTTATACCTTCTTCTGATATATTAGGTTAGATTGCATTTGGAAGACCTTACACTTATACCTAATAATGGTACGATTTTAACAAAAAACATACCTTCTGATTTTTTTTACGACTATGATATTTAACTATATGAGTTCTTAAATTGTTCAGTTTTGGGCAAATATTATATGAGTAATTTAAAATAGACGTATGAGGTTGGGTGCAGCCATTGTTATAGGTAATTTATAGTATATCTGTTAGCAACGTTTAACCGTTGCTAACGAAAAAACGATTCTAACAGAAGTTCAGTTGATAGTGGTTCTTTGTCAACAAAAAATATGTCATATTATGGTAAAATAATAAAANGTTAGCAACGTTTAACCGTTGCTAACGAAAAAACGATTCTAACAGAAGTTCAGTTGATAGTGATTCTTTGTCAACAAAAAATATGTCATTTTATGGTACAATAATAAAAAAGACATTGTTTATTAACGTTAATAATATTAGTTTAATGTACCGATTATCCTACGTTTATCCTAGTTTTCTCAAGTTTTCTCCTGGTTTTTCACACTTGTTTAGAAAACTCGTGAGAAAATCGAAAAATGTCATCTTTAAAGTATCTCCCTAATCAAATTTCCTTGTATATACATTGCTCACATTTTAAATTGGAGTAAAATTACTGGTATAAAAGTCGTCCACTGGAAAAAAAAAAATAAACATCTTTGTAAAATCATAAGATTCNTATTGTGGGACTACAGTTTATGGATTAAAGTTCGATTCATTCACTTAGTGTGTTTCGGATTAAAGAGATATAACTGTGATATTTTAACTATAATATTCACGTGCTTGTAAACAAACAGTTAAAATATTTCAATATATTTTGGGTTCTTTACTGATTTGTAATATGAATGAGATACTGATTTTATTTACTAATAGTTTTATATTTTGTATGTTATATCTTTGAACTTAAAAAAAGGGGCAATTTCGCACGCAGGTTCAGCCACTGCTGTAGGTGAGAAGTTAGGAAGATTAGTTGAGGGGAAATTTAATATATATCTGTAAACAACGAAAATCCATTGCTAACGGAAAAACGATTCTTAGCAGAGTTCGGTTAATTGCATTGCTTGGTCATCAATACTCATATGTATATGCCATATTATGGTAAAATAATCGCATAGGTATTTTCTTTAATAATATTTGTTTAATATGTTCAGGGCTTGAAATTTTTTTATTCGGTTTTGATTTCCATTTTGATTACTGGTTTTGAATTCTTTTGATTTTAATTTAAATATTAGAAATCGGTTTTATTTAACCTTGATTTTGATTTTAACTTTNTATCTGTAAACAACGAAAATCCATTGCTAACGGAAAAACGATTCTTAGCAGAGTTCGGTTAATTGCATTGCTTTGTCATAAGTACTCATATGTATATGCCATATTATGGTAAAATAATCGTATAGGTATTTTCTTTAATAATATTTGTTTAATATGTTCAGGGCTTGAATTTTTTTTATTCGGTTTTGATTTTAACTTTGAATACTAGTTTTGATTTTAGTGTTTCCAAAATCGATATAATTTAATTTTGAATTTTAAAAAATTGATCTTTATTGCAATTATTATTACTATCATTTATTTATATATTTACGAGTAAGAACCCAATTATGAAAAATTAATAATTTAGTAGGTGTAAATATTGTATAAATAACAATGTTAAATAAAAAAAAGAAATATTATGAACTTAAAATTAAAATCGGAGAAAATAAGTCTGATCAATTTTGTTCTAATATACATTTTACAAGTATTGACAGTATTATAGATATTGAAAAAAGTCAATCTGTTCACCATTAGCGATAGTCATCAATATAGAGGAGCGGAACGAAGGAAAATTTGTTATACGTATGTTTAGATAAAATATAGTGTTGATTGAAGACCTAGTTAACGGTTATAATTGTTTTAGACTGCAATTGTTGTACATATATTATTGTTTCGTATACTCGATTTATTTTTAGATTTTATATAAGGAAAGTAATAATAAAGTACGACAAGCGATAGTCGGTTGGTTTGGTTAAGTATAATAACTTAGTATTACTTACGATAATAAATTAATTTCATCGAATTTTGGACACACAAAATTTTAAATAACAATATTAAAGTAAATAAGTATAGGATTTTGTTGCCATTATTATTATTTATCCCCGTAAAAATGTAGTGTGTGTCTTCAAATTTTTTACCGTTGGATTTATAACCCAATGTCCGGAAAACGATATATCGTTTGAGATAAATAAAAACAATTTAATTGATTTTGGATAGTTTTAATAGAGTTAAATTTTTTCATTAATTAATTAATTTATTTATTTATTAATAAATGCAGTTTTTATTATTGCAGGACATATTTTATAGAAAACACCGTATTACAACGAACTGTAGACGAGTGTAAATAATAATGATTAATCGGGACATAATTTGTGTTCATTTTCGATGCTAAATGAATNTCTTACACAAATAAAGAGGAAAGTACTTTTACTGTACCTACAGATAGATAGTTGTTTAATTCGAGGAAGGAAAATTTAGGTATAGATTTAAAACCATTCTCAGAGTTTGTTTAATTAATTTTAAACATAAGGACTAAGGATGTTATAAAAATTGGGAATCGAAACACGGAACCAGCAAATAAAACAAATAAAACTTATTTTCGCTTGTTTCCTTTTACGTAAATAATAATTTCCCCTGTATGCGGAACACCGAAATAGAATTTATTCAGCTTGGTGCGTTAAAAAGTTAAATTTTTGGAGTGTCAGGTCTTGGGTCACGATATTTTTCCTTGTTGTGCAACCCGTTAATCTTTTTTTTTAATAATATGAATTAGTAATTTTGTTTTTATTATTTTGTATAGGTTCTATACAATTAGATGATTCAGGAAGTAAGTTTATTTTGATTAATAAACAACAAATTCTTTAAAAGAAAGTTAATTTACAAAGATATTAACGTTAACGCCGTTAACGCCGTACAAGATTGGCTATAGTATAAGATTTTATGATAATATTGAAGTAGCCATTCCCCTATGATATTTGATCTCTAGTTGTCATTTTTGGACAAGTATTGAATGTATAATGCATATAACCTATATTTTGACTATGCTATCCACGGCTTGAAACATTTATATTTTAACTAAATTGGTTTTTGTAACCTACATAGTTATTAGAAAGATATGAATACTGCTTGTTTTTTTTAAAAAAAATATTATTTTATTTATAAATACATAGTTTTATTTAGAAATGTATAATATCATAATTAATTATTTCTGATACATAAACTATAAAAATGCATATTATTTTTTTTTTTTTGTTTTTCGTATACTCTAGTAATGTATTTCAAAGGTATCGTTTATATTTTTTTAAATATATTTTTGATAGTAATAGTTTCACTATAGATACTGTGTGACATTTAGTATACCTATTGAATGTTAATTTGCTTTTGTAGATAAAATGAACTCTAAATATTTTGTAGCAGAAAAAAAAAAAAATTTAAAATAATGACGATTTTGGGTTGGGTGTATCTCTTTTGTAGGTGGAAAGTCGAGAAGAATTTTTTATTATACTCTTTGTTTAGTTATTATAATAATATAAACTATGAATAATATAAATTAATATCTACTGATTATTTATTACTTCTTATAATAGAGGACAGTCCATAAGCAACAAATGTTTCGCAAATCGTGGTAAGTACACTTTGAATAGATTATTTTTTTTAAAAAAAACAAAGGTTTTAGAGGTCTTAACACGAACAAATTAATCGCTTTTTTGAGAACTACTGTCTATTGATGATTTTTTAAAACCGAAACCTGTAGTAAACACGCAAGTAGTAGAAAAATGGGGTACCTCGCACTGACAGATATTTTCAGTTTTAAAAACTAATTTCAGATCTCAATTTACATTGTTTTCTTATTGTTCTCTGTTCACATAATTATATTAAAAGAGTAATTGTAATGTTATAACTTTCGAAATAGGAAGTCCTGATAGTTTTATCAATAATCAACGTCCAAAATATCAAGATATCACATCAAGATTTTCCCATATTAGGTGTGTATCTCACACCTAATAAATTTAAAAATGCAACACCAATGTACGTATTAAATCTTACTAGACGACCGGACAATGTTAGTGGAAATAGATATAATATTATTTTGAATGCAAAATTTAATGAGGATGTACCAAATTGTACAATTCGCTATATTAGTTTAGTTTCAACTTCTGAATTTACATACAATATTTTTAATAACGCAATTACAATATCTAATAATAAAAATATTTTTCAATAGAAATATTGAATTAAGAAAAAAAATGGATTTATTATGTTAATAAATATGGACAAAGAATTTTTATGACCAATATACTGTCACAAAAGAAAACTAAAATTTTAAACCAATCAAGGTTTAAATAACAATTGGATTTCGGAAAATTTCAACACAATGTTTAAAATATAAANGACGACCGGACAATGTTAGTGGAAATAGATATAATATTATTTTGAATGCAAAATTTAATGAGGATGTACCAAATTGTACAATTCGCTATATTAGTTATACTGTCACAAAAGAAAACTAAAATTTTAAACCAATCAAGGTTTAAATAATAATTGGATTTCGGAAAATTTCAACACAAAGTTTAAAATATAAAACAAACAAAAGTAAATTTATTAAATCACCTTTAGGAAAAGATACAATATCTAAAATAAAATACGAAAAAATATCAGAACAAGATAATCTAAGTAATGCAAAAGGACTTCATAAAATAGTAAGATCCCGATTTACAAAAAGGAGAATAAATACACAAGGTATCAATAAATTATGGGCTACTTGAATGTTATAGATACTTTTTCAAAATTTGAACGGGCTGAACCTCCTAAACAGAAAGATGGGAAAAATGTTACAAAATCTTTTGAAGAAATAATAAAAAGAGCTAAATTACAGGAACACAGTTCTCCAATATTACTTTACACTAAAAAAGGAACAGAGTTTGTTAACAAACAATTTATAGAATGTCAATAAAATACATCATAAAATTATATCATATACAAAATTATGAGAATTCTGCAATTATTAAACGTTTCAACAGAAATTTAAATACTAAAATGAGAATACAGTTTGAATTTCAAAAAAATAAAAGATTCATTGATATTTTACAAGATTTATTCAATGAATATAGTGTCAAAGATATTCATCGAACATTTGGAATGATACCATTCAAAGTAAACAAATATAATGAAGAAAAAGTTTTTAACTAAATTATTCCCTAATGAAATATCTAAAGAAGATGTATTTTTGGCTAAGGATTCTGATTGGATATTTAACCAGGTTATAAATATAAACATAAATATGTATAGTTATAAATTACTTAATGGAGCATCATATATTAAATTACCAAAAAAGATATCTGATATAAAAGCTATTACCAATATTGTGAATAAAGATAATAAATATTTTCTTTAGTCAATTCTTGCCACTTTACATCCAGTGACAAAAAATGCAAACAGGGTTAGTAATTATTATATATGAGAAAATTAATTAACTATATTAAATGAACAGATACAGATTCTTTATTATTAAAAATTATAACTGATGACATTTATACAAACGTAATCAATAATGAACAATTTTAAATGAATTTTATTTTTCAGATTATCCTGGATTAAGATCTAATTTATATATATTTAAAGTATTTAAAAATGTAAATGAAATTAAAAAGGCCAAAGGTGTGAAAAAACCCATAGTTAAAATTAATTATGTTTCAATGATTTTTAAAATTGTTAAAAAGAAAATTCCAAAACATGTAAAACATAACACTTTTAAACCGATAAACATAATATTTATTGTTGAACAAAACAATAAAGCTCTGATGCATCTGATGCATCTGATGATAAAAGACATATTCTGGAAAATGATATTGATACTGAATCTTGGGGAAATTATTCAACAACAAAAAAATAAAGAGAAAATTTCTAAGATCACCTTAATAATTTAATAAAAACAAATATTAAAAAAGAATAATACATTTAATACAAGTTATTTTTGAGAAATGATCTATTGCATGCGCAATGCTTAATTTATTATATTTTAAATTTTTTTTTTAAGAGAACTGTTTTAGCACAATGTTTATGTGAAAATAGTTTTTCTAAGCTCTTTAAAAATAATAAGTATATACTTCCCTTGTTGTGATACAATTTTTTTTAATATTATTAAAGTAAGTTTTTTAAATTTTTTTTCATATAATTGTGTGAACTAATAATAATATGGAAACAAGATGAACAGAGATCTGAAATTATGTTTTCAAAGTAAAAATATCTGGCTGCTCCAGGATCCCCATTTTTCTACAACACACACAACAATATATAATATTATAGGCTTTTTGTTGATAATTTAGATTATCTGTTTAGTTAAATTGTTTGTGCTGTTTATATAATATTATCATAATCCTGATAATATTAAAATAACTTAACAGTGGCATATATAGGAAGGGGCACAGTGGGCCATAGACCCTCCTCCTATGAGAATTGTAATCATCTCGCACAGTGAAAATTGTTTTTAATATTATCTATTTAATGAATTAAATTTATGATGCCTTTATTATTGAAATATACATTTTATTTTTTAAATAATTATTTGTATGGGCCTAATAGAGGTACGCATGCAAAACAAATGACCAATATATTACTTGATATTTATAGTAAATACTATTTTATGTATTTCTGTGAAATGTGAAATACATTTAAGCTGAAATAATTTTTATACAAATAGTAGTTACTGTAACATTATTTGTTTTTTTTTTTTGTTTTACTTTAGCGCCACACAAGACCCAAAGTCTCAATTTTATTACAGCAATATTACCATATAAGAGTTTAAATACATAAATTTAATGAACTGGAATAAACATAGTAGCACAAGATTGTATTCACTATATCGGATTCAAACTTTATTTGATAATTTATTATTAAGGTGTACTATAATATTATTGATAATTCTTTTCATAATATTATAAGTTCATTATCAATAAGTATGTATCATTATAATATTGCATATTTAATATCATGTATGTAATAAATTTAATAATACATAATGCGTTTGATAATACAAAATGTTTAATTATGTTGATCTGTTACAAATTTACAATTTAATCAATGTCATTTACAAAGTTATAAATATAATACAATAAAATGCAATATATTTTTTAAATTTTTTATTAATAAAAACATTCAGTAGTAAAAAAAAGCACGATACAGTGATGTCTCTAGGTCCAACAATACCCTTTAGATACTTTGTAGATCAAATTTTAAGACCAAACAAAAATACGTGAAAATTGTACAAGTGGTTTATTATAATATTTACTTAATGGTTAACAATAAAAAGTTGAGTTTAAATGTAGTATTTTTTTTTTTACACACATTTTAATATAAATTTTTGACGAATAATGTAAATATCAATTTATGATTTATGAAAAAATAATGTAACAAAAATACTATACGCAAAATGAAAAAAAAACGGACATACTTCGCATACTTGGGTTCAGCCATATTTGTTGGTAAGTTGGGAAGGTAGGGTACAGATTTGAATTTAATATACATCTGCAAGCAACGGTAAACCATAGCTAACAAAAAAACGATTCTGAGCAGAGTTCAGTTAATAATGTTGCTTTGTCAACAATATATATTTATATATGTCATATTATGGTAAAAATGATTACAACGATATGCATATACGCGACAACAATGATTGTTGAAAAAAGATTAAAATAATAAAAACATAAAAATAACAAAAAATAAATAAAAACGGTTGCCAATGACAACCTCATTTTTAATCTTTCAATCTTTTTTAACCTAATGAATCAAGTCTTTCTTATTATCTCAAATATAAATGAGAATTTACCTCTTTAAAGTACCATCCAGACAACATTTCCTTTCAGAAAAGGTGCCATACTTGATAATCAATGTATGTTTTCCGGTGTAAATAATGTTCTTACATATAAAAAGAAAATATCCCCACTCAGAATCTAAAACAAATTTTTATATACTTCCCGACATTATAAAAGTATTTTATTATAATATACATTTATCACTATAAGTTATATGTATACATGTTATAGTGGTACAATAGAATTATACCGTAGGCTGATAATAACAAATTAAAACTGTTCTAAATTGGTATTAATAGATTTATTATTTATTTACCTATTTATTTGTTACTAAGAGCTGAATATATTAATTATGGCTGTTGAATCATAAATTAAACCTGACCATTATTTTATAATTTTCTTATAAAGTTCTGCACCACTCGTACTAACTATATCTATAATTAAAGTTTAGTTTTTTTAAGATATTTTGTTTTTCAAATGTTTTATAATGAAACCATTACTTGATTTAATACCTTGATTTATTTTCAAATGCCAAACTATATAAAACATTTTACAAATATAAATACGAAAAATATGAAATTATAAATTGAATACATTTTGGGTTTGATAATTTTAAATTCCATTTACTCATTCAAAAGAGAGAGTGTGCCATTTTTTAGATAAAAAGGTAGAGTGTAATGGAATAATATCAGGGTATTTTGATACCACTAAACTGATGGCAAGACTCTTTCCCTACCAGTGATACTAAAATCCTGGTTAAAAATATGTTAACTATTAAATGTACTGACTGAAAATTAATTTATTCTTCACTTCAGTCAAAATCTACGAATGAATAAGATTTAGTGAGCATTTTGTCTTTTAGTTTTTAAAACATTACATTTATGATTTTAAGGTAGCTAAAAATGTGTAGACTTCAAAATGATCAGATACTTAAGCATGTAGTAAATTAATATTTTAAAGTGTTTTTTTTATAAATTAACTATCGTAGATATAAAATATCATANCAGTTTTAAATACAGCAGATGGTGGTCCTTTTGGAGACCCATACTTTCATCACTATTGCCGAGAAAAACTAGGGCCTATGTATGCGTATCGTGTGTAATAGTAGTATAAGCGTTTTGTATTAGAACATAAGAGCATATAATTGTAGTCTATCGATAACGTCTGGTGTGTTAGCGGCTCTGAGAATATTGTAGCCATTGGCACCCGCAAGAGAGCCGCGCAGTCAGTCGAGCTCCCACTTTTAAAACTGTGCATCGTCTCGACGAATTTTATAATATATAACACGGTAATTATATAGTGCGACTCACATTAACATTTTATTAGTAACCAAAAATCCTTAGAATTGTCTTGTTGTACTTTATCCTAAAAATTGGTTCCTCACACTACCGAACAAATAAAACAACCCGTACGAGCACAACAACTCGCACAGGCACTACAACTGGTGGCAGCGGTGTTGCAATCATAATTTTGGGGAAGAAACATCTGCAGAAGGAAAACTAATATATCTAATATATATATTCGAGGTAATTTGTATTTCTCTTTGCAAGTATTAGAACTACTAGGTTCGTCGTAGGTATACCGTCATAAGGACAATTTTATACGAGGTGGTATATAAGTCACTATTGTAAAACTGTCACGGGCGTTTATGTGTTGTCAACAATGCACGCACTGTCTATAGTGAGCAGGTATTGTATTCGACTTTGTGTTCCACTCTTCACATCTCCATCAACGGCGTCACCGTCGCAATGTCGTGATTGCCGTCGTCGTGCTGCTGTAGCAGGAGAAGTAGAATCCGATTTACCAATTGCATATGTCTCACGTTCGTTAAAAAAGGCTGAGAAAAACTACAATACAACAAAGAAGGAATTACTAGCGATAGTTTGGGTCGTTAAGCAGTTTCGTCTATATCTGTTTGGGTGTTGATTCACAGTTGTCACAGACCATAAACTGTTTACTTGGCAATTTAATGTCAAAGATCTGGGGGCTCGATTAGTGAGATGTCGTCTACTACTGGAGGAACACGATCATGAAATAACTTATAAGCCAGGAACATCGAATTCATACGCAGATGCGTTAAGTCACATTACTCAAGTTAGTTCAACTAATCATATTTCAAATACGTACGAGAAATACATATATGATATTCAGTCAAAGATAATAAAAAAACTCAAATATCATAGAAGTGGAAGGAGATTTATTCCAAGCCACAGCAGATTTTGCACTAGGGCACTGTGTATCCAAAGATTTTAAGATGTCTCAAAGAATAGGTCTGGAATTTAGAAGAAAATTCGGTCAAGTCGAACAAAAACTTGAACAAAATAATCGAGTTACTGAAATAGCAACTATACAATATGATGAACGTAATATTTTATAAATAATCACTAAAGAATCATATAATCAAAAACCAACTTATGAAATTTCTGTGAACTGATAATATAAAAAAATTAGCTCTATCCAAAATAGGTAGTGGCCACGATCAGCTTAATTGGGAACGAATTAGTATAATGTTACGGTATATTTTTAAAATTTCGAAAATCAAAATAGTGGTTTTCAGTGATGAGTCTTATTCAGAAGAAGATAAGTATAAAATTATCGAGGAAATCCATTTGTCTCCATTAGGAGGTCATCAAGGAATTTCTAGAACGATTAAATGAATTAAGTTACACCATACGTGGAAAGGCCTAAAGAAGAATGTCATAGAATTCATAAAGTAATGTACTTCATGTCAAATTAATAAAAGTAGTAACCACACAACCCAACAACCCATGATAGTTACATCTACTGCTACTAAACCTTTCGAGAAAATCTTACTTGACATTTTAGGTTCACTTGAAACTTCGACCGAAAAAAATTCATACATTATCACAATGCAGGACGATTAACAAAATTTTCTGCAGAAGTTCCATTAGTAAAACATTCAGCTAACTCAATAGTGAAAGAATTTGTTGAAAATGTTATCTGTCAACATGGAATACCGGAGTCAATAGTCACGGACCAAGGACAAGATTTTTTAAGCAAAGTATTCACAGTATGCTGTGAACTTCTTCAAATAAACAAAATTAAAACGACAGCGTATCATCCGCAGTCCAATCTGGAGCCTTAGAGAGTTCCCATCGATTTCTAGAAGAGTATCTGAGGCACATTGTTAAGGAAAAGAAAAATAATTGGGTTCAATATATTTCTTACGCAATGTTTATATAAAACAGCATGGTTCACACGTCGACAAGATTTCATGTGTTAGTGTTTGGATATACAGTCGAAGTACCTTATTCATTATAGAGATCTCCATAGCCATGTTATAATTACGAGGATTACAATTTTAAAATCAAAAAACGATTTCAAGAATCACAGAATAGCGTGTGATAAACTAATTGGAAAGAAACAAAAATCAAAACTAGCGTACAATAAAAAGCAACATGAAATTATCATTAATGTAGCTGATAGAGTTCTTGTGAAAGATAATAAACAAAACGAAAAGCTACAATCCAAATGGATGGGTCCCTATTCAGTGACAATTTTTCATGATAACGAAACCGTATCCATACAACGTGGACGTAAAGAAGTAGTAATACACAAGAATGAATTGAACATGTTTAACTCATAATTAAGAAATAATCAAAATGTGAGAAAACAATTTTCCGGATGAAAAAACAATGTTATATAATAGAGATTTACTGAATATAGCTTTGGAAATATAGCTGCTGTTAACGGATAACAAGTAGGAGGTTAAAGCGAGAATCGGTAGAGATTTTCAAATGTAGAGCTACAAATAATAAACATCAAGAAAGCAGTTATAGATATTAAGGAGTTGAAAGAAGAGGTTTTTTTTAAAAATAAATCTACTGGCTAACCATCTGCATCTAATTTTCAAAGAGAGTCATACAGTCTCAATTTTAATAACAGAATTGGAGAATTTTCTTGAAGTACCAATAATGGACCTGAGGAAAAAAGTTCGAAATTATAGTAGTTTTAAGTGTAAATGTGAAGTAGGCCCTGATAAAAAAATGAATCACATTCAATTTTGGTGCAGTTGGTTGATTTATATATAATCGATATATACTTATATTTATGAGCGCTTATGTCCTTTAACTTGTAGCTGTTTATTTAGCTAAACATTTATAATAATTACAATAATCTTTAATACAATTCTGTATATTTTCAACAGAGAATGTGCTGACTTGCAAGAACCGTATTGCGGGTGGAATAGGAGGGACTTTATAAACCATTTGGAAAGAAAGAGTTCTTCCAAGGAGAATTTTGTTCAGTATTAAAACAATTTTTACCCTAAAGTTTAGATTTTGAAATAGATAATTAAACTACTTGTTTTAAATTATCTAACATTTAATATGTGATTTTTATTATTATTATTATTATTCTGCAGTGAAATTTGACGATAATAAGAGACGCTTGAAAAGAACTTGGACTCATCAGTTGAAAACAAGATTTTGCAAAAGGTTATAAAAACATTAAAAGCTGGTTGAAGATAGACGATAACAGGGATTATTGGCTGTTTATTCTAAGATTTATNAAGTCATTTTCGATTTTCTCAAGAGCTTTCTTATCAAATTTAAATGCTGCATTGAAAACGGAGGAATAACCAGAAAATATAAGAAATGTAAGTATTAGTTTAAATATATAACGGCCTTCTTTTTTTCCAGTGAACAATTTTTCTACAAGCAATTTGGCTCCGATTTATATTGATAGCAATTTTTCAGAAAGGAAATTTTACTTGGGAGGTTTTTTAAGGAGGACGTTTTTTTTTTTCCACAAGTTTTCCCAGAAAATGTAAAACACCGGGATAAAACATTGGAAAACCGGGAAAGAAATAGGAGAACTGGGAAAATCGGTATAACATTAAACAAATATTTTTAAAGAAAATATATAAAGTTTATTCAATTATTTTACTATAAAATGACATATATTGTTGACAAAGCATCACTATCAACTGAACTGCACTCAGAATCGTTTTTTCGTAAGTCATGGTTTATCGTTGCTTACAGATAAAAATTAATTTCCATTCTATATCCTACATTCGCAACTTTTCACCAACAATTTGTAGCTACACCTATTGTGTGAAGTAAGACCGTCTTTTTTTTTACCATTGTACTATCGATTCATTTTTTTTAATGTGTTTTAACAATAACAAATATGACACTACTTTTAGGTAGGTATTTGAAAAATAATATAGGAAATGTTTAATATTTTACTACGCGTGTTTTCTATTACAATTCTTGGTTAATAATAATATTACTGTTCAAAGTGTAATTTTTTTTTTAATTATACATTTATCAACCTAAAAATTGTACTTACAACCAAACAAAATCGTTTTTCATTTGTAATTTTTTATCGGCCGTATACAAAGGCTATATACTATGTATATTCTACGTTTCTAATTTTCCATGAACACAGTATTGAATCTGTAGTGTATTATCCCGAATAGTATATTTCCAAATACTAAATACTATAAATTAATTTTTCCTAAATAATATAATTTGAGTATTTAACAAAATCGTTATCAATACAAATAATTATTATTTAGTAAACACATAATTTAAAGTTTCATAAATTAATTAAATTACATAATATGTTAAAAATATTTTAATATCATTCGAAGAAACTAGGCCATATCATATTTGTTTATCTTTACAAGATTGTTGTCGTATTTGCTTTTTATTCGATTTAAATTTCGATTATTTGTTAACTTAACATATTTAGCTATAACTAAATTCTGTTTTTTACAATTTGTAAAAAATATAGGTACCTACGTGCAGTGGCGTAACAAGGGTATGGCGAACCGTTCCTACGCCAGGGGCACAAATTGCAACAGGATAAAAAATTGTGCAAATCTAAATTTTATCCTACCTTCAAAACGAAATTTTTCCATTATACGTACCTACTTTTTGAAGTTTTTAGATTTTCTCTTATTGTACACATCGTGTGTGAATTTAATGATGAAATTATGAAAGAAGCACGAGGGAATTCTAAATTGATTGTTTTTATAAACGTGTATTTGTACATAATTAACATATTTTTAGACATGTTTAAATGATAAAATTTGTATTTCTGACATTGTGTATTCTTCCACTGTGCAGATATGAGTATCAAATTTATCTTTCTCACAGTTGCGAGCAAACAATTTTTCATACTTACGGCAAAAAAAAAAAAAATACAAATAGATTCACCTAATCAAAACATGAATTTTTATGGATGTCCTACGAACAATTACAACAATAACTTTTGTTAGCTATATTGACTACCTACATAATATTGGCTATATAAGTAGGTATATCTATAAAGACGCATCCACACGGGGCATTATTTTACCGAGCGGCTTTAACACGCGGCATGATCGTCAAAATTTATCGTCAAAAGACGATAAATTCAATTTTGAAGAAACGGGGGGTTTTCCATTATTTTTGTATATGTCAAGTTCCAATTTTGTAAATTTATTGTGCAAAGTCGCACCGGTACTCAACATGTACCCCGTACATATTTTTATACTAATACAAAACTAACATAAAATATGAGTAGTCCGATACTCCGGTATAGAATATGTTCAGTAATTACCTGTAGAAATATTCGACCATTTGAATAAGTACACATTAATCATAACATTTATAAAA